TGTTTCTACAGTTCAGTTTTCTCCTCTTCAAAAGTAGATCAGGGTGGTTCACACCTGTAAATCCTCCACTCTGAGATTGAGAGAGTACTGATGTGAGTTCAAATCCAGTCCGGGTGACTATTATCCTGTTCTCAGTATACAAGTGAGGGGAACAGGGACTGTCTCTGACATGAACTCAGTGGCTGGCTCTTTGACCGCCTCCCCCTGATGGGGGAGCATCCTTGCAAGGCCAGAGAGGAAGACAATGCAACCAGTTCTGAAGATACCTGATAAGCTAGGGTCAGGTGTAAGGAGAGAAAGACCTCCCTATCAGTGGACTGAGAGAGGGGCACAGAAGGAGATAAAGGAGGGAAGGTGGGATTGGGAGGAGACAAGGGAGGGGGCCACAGCTGGGATACAAAGGGAATAAACTGTAATTAATAGAAAAAAATAAAAATTTAATTAAAAAAAAGAAATGAAACAAAACAAAATAAATCAAAAAGATCAAGACATCAGATTCAGACTTCCTGGGGTGGGACCTGCATTTTCTTTTATACAAACAGTAATCTTCTGCATCTCCGTTCACTGGCATTGAAAAAAGGAAGATGTTGTATCAACCACACATTGGTATTTAGAATAACTAGTGGGGGGGAAAGGATGGATCAAAAAATCAAGGGAGAGGATTGGGAGCAAGAGTCAGAGGAAAAGCAATGATAACAGCTTCCCATGTTCTGTTACACATTTGTTTCGTTGTCTGGCTAGTTTTATTTGTTTGTCGTAGTTTAATGTAAATATTGTGAATATTATTAGCTTCTTTCTTTGCTGGTCCTAGAAAATACATGTTGACATCTGTATACTGAATATATATATATATATTCCTCAGCATTAAGAAGTCATTTATCACAACTGTTAGCGTATTCTGGTTTAGGTTTACGTTCTTATAAACATACGTTATCATGTGCAAATAAAAACATCTGTATTTCTTCACTTTTTTATTTTTTTCTGTATCTTTCTCTCACTGATTGCCTGGCTAAGGGGCCAAGCACTAGAAAGGAGAAGGACAAGGTAGGGTACCAATGGTGGCTATGAAGAGAATAAAAGGCATATATGTGTGTGTGTGTGTGTGTGTGTGTGTGTGTGTGTGTGTGTGTGTGCCGCAAAAGAACCTATTCTGTAGAGTTTGTTTGCATTGATAATAATAAAGTAAATTCCTTCCTGGGTGAAGTATAAAATGCTTGGAGGAATGCTATTTGGAGCCATTGGTGTTAATGAAGCCATGCAGAGACAGAACACAGGTGAGATATGTCAATATTTGGACAAGTAGATTAGATTTTATAGTATAAACTAAGTATTTAGCTTGGAAATATAGATTCTTTTAAAAGCAAGTCTTAATGATAACATTTGAGTGTATACAGCATAACTCACAGAAGGAAGTTTTGTGTCAATAAATATGAATAATAATATACATCATTACCTTACCCTCCAGACAAGTGAGAAGATTTGAAAGAATTTTTGCTGATACCTTTCATCAAAAAGGTGTTCGCAAAAGAAAAGAAAAAAAAAAAAAGGTGTTTGCTGGATCAAGTATTCCTGCCTCAGATGTAAGGATGATTTTGGACCCTGTCAAGGGCACAGTCTTCCTCTGTCTCACTGGTCTTGGCGCTGCTGGAAACATCTTAGTTCTGGTGAGTTACATGCACATGTTCCAAAGCACCGAGAAGAAACCTATCCACCTGATTCTTGCTCACTTGGCACTGACAAATATCATCATGCTTCTGTCAAAAGGGATGCCAAGGACCATAGAAGCCTTTAATTTTGGAAACTTCTTAGATGATACTACTTGTAAAATTGTTGTTTACCTGGCAAGAGTGTCCCGGGGCCTTTCACTCTGCACCAGCAGTCTCCTCACGGTGGTCCAGGCCATCACCATCAGTCCCAAACAGTCCATATGGCAGAGGCTCAAACTAAGGACTCCACGGCACATCATCTCCTCGCTGCTGTTCCTGTGGATACTCAATTCCTTAATCAGTATGAACTTACCATATTACATTAAAAACATCAACAGTGTGAACATAACACAGGTTAAAAAAAGTAGCAACTATTGCTATTTTCTGCCAGAAAGCTGGATAACAAGATGGATTTTTCTCACCCTCATGGTCCTGAGAGATGCAGTGTTTCAGGGTGCCATGGGAGGGGCCAGCGGCTACCTGGTATTTCTTCTCCACAAGCACCACCAGCATGTCCTCTACCTTCAGAACTGCAAGATTCTCTACAGAACTCCCCCTGAGCTGAGAGCTGCTCAAAGTGTCCTCCTTCTGATGGTGTGCTTTCTTTTCTTTAATTGGGCAGATTGTTTTATTTCTTTATACATTACTTTGACGATAGAGAATTATTCCACAGAAGTTTATATTCCAGAGTTCCTAACCATTAGTTATGCAGTTCTCAGCCCCTTCATGCTGATTCACAGAGATGGACATCTGACTAAATGCTGTTATATTCAGTAAGAGAGATCAGGCATTGATAAATGTCCATTGATACTTTCAGCATGAAAATTAGAAAACAGGATAGTTTTATTTTAGTGCACAAAGACAAATACTCAGTATTTCAAGCACATAATAGTGGTTCTTATTCAACAAATGGTGACAGTGCTTAGCTAATAATGAGGCTGAAGAATGCTTAAAGCCTCAAATGTCTTTTTTCTCCATCTTTTCATCATTCATGAAATAGCTGATATTCTCTTGTCTCTATAAAGGGTCATTAAAGATCATCACTTCTGGAAGCAGAAACAATCATGGAAGCAGACCATCAACATGTGACAGCAGCACTGCGAAATTACCACAATGAATCCCGTTGAGTTATACCATTAACATGCTAACAATTACAATGAAAATAAATGCATCATGTTTAGTTTTGAGAAACAGACATCTTAGAAATACTGCAGCATTACTTTCAGAGTCAGATTTAGATCTAGCAATTTCTGTTCTAGATTCCATCTTGCAGATATAATTTTTTATGTTGTTTATGTTATTTCACTCTCACTTTGAGTGTTTGATATAGAGTCTTTGTAGTTCTGGCTGGACTGAGATTTATATATGAACAGGTTTGTCTTAGCTACAGAGTTCCTCTTTCCTTTACTTTTCAAACTGTGAATATCTGACATAGAACAAAAACCTTTACATGTTGCAACATTATTTTCAAAACCAGACATCTAGAAATAGTTCTTTTTGCCTGGGATTTAAAGACAGCTCTACAGATCCAGCTCAGATTCTTCTCATTGAACATATGAAAGAATGGGCAAGTTTAATCTGTTATGTTATGATAAGAAAGGTGAGCTTATAACTCATTTTAAAATCTATGCTGACTAATTCTGTTTAAAGTACAATAGGACAATATTTAATTGCATATCACCCACAATGTGATCCATGGAAAGAATGGAAAGAGTACTTGGCATCATTTGATAGAACCTAAGTTAATGGAAGCATATGAAGATGAATTTCATATTTTGCTCCCCAGTACTCACTGCATTATTAATCCAATAATATGAATTTTGTGAATAAATAAATAAATAAAATGCTGACTTTGAAAACAACTTGTGTCTCTTTTTGAGAGATTGTTTTTGCCTAGAACTTCCTGTTGTTGCCAGTCTCTGTCTCAGAGACGTAGAAAAGATTCTGCTTCCCAATTAAATGATGATTTGCTTTTAATTTTGATTATACCAAAAATATGTTTTGGTAGAATGCATTATTTTGAGAATAGAATGCATTATTTTGAGAATAAATCATTTGATCAAACCCTCTTGAAAGATTTATGATGCTTTTACTGATTTCACATATGTAAGAAGACATTGGGATTGATGCAGAGGGACTTACACTCCTCTTGTTTCTCTCTTCCCTAACTGTGTATACTTGGGTCTTTCACTTCTCTATTGAACAATGATGAGTGCTTCTTTTTAATTTTGTTATGCAATATCAAGATAATTTTTTAATCATTTATTAGTGCCATAAAGCATAGTAAACATAGTTTAGGGGTTTGTTTTCTTCATGACATTGCATCTTGATTAAAAACAAACTGTTTATTTTCGTTTCACAGTTTTCCTGTAGCAGACTTGTCCTAACACCTTGTGTAGGGAGCAAGACAAGGGAAGAAGTACCTGAATATGTCATTGGTAATTGATGCCAATGGAAAGAATGTTAATCCTTGAAATGCAATTAAGAATGACATAAAAGTGTGGATAATGAAGGCAAGATGATTGAGCATGAAAAATAGAGGATGTCTAGATGGATAAATAAAAAACAAAGAAAAATAAATACTGAAGATTAGATGCAGTTTGATTTTTTTCCACTAAAGAGTGGAATTAAGAAAATTGGTATGGGGCAGGGCAAGATGGCGGCGACGGGAGGACTCTCATTCTGAGGAGCAGCACAGCAGGATTGGCACAGTGACCAGCAATCAGAACTCGCGGCCATAAAACACAAGTGATTGTGTTTCACAGGTGAGAGGATACCCCAGGGTGGGGGATTCAATCAGCTTTAACTCACCCTGGCTAAACCGCAGAAGAGATCCCGGTTCTGCCAGGCGCTTGGTCGCCAGCCCAGAGCTACCCCCCAGCACAATCTGGTCACGGTCCCAGACTGAACTGTGGGCCCACAACACCATAGACTGGATTTCCCAGTCGAGAGATAACCCCACAGAGCAGGAAACGATTGGGACCAACCTCAGGTTACCCAGACATCCCCTGGAAAAGACTCGGGTTCCGCGGGTGCCCCAAGAGCCAGCCCAGACCCAGAGCCCGGACACAGGCGCCTGCCTGCGCGCCTGATTCGCCGCCTTAGATAGAACTGTGGGCACCAGGGCACCAGGGCACCAGACTGCGTGTCTCTGGCAGGAGGAAACCCCCAGCAGAGGGGGTCAGCAGCTCTAATGCTTAGGACACCCAGCACCAAAACACTTCCTGGACTCACACAGACTCTAGTGCAGGCAGGAGCGCTGTGTTCTGCCGCTATTATTGAGCTCCCCTAGGGCACTGGGACACACAGTGGCATCCTCAGACCTACAAAAGCCAGAGAGCCATTACAGCAGCCCTCAGATACTGTGACAAGGATCAACCAGTTATTCCTAGCTAGACTGTCAAAACTGTGGGAACCCCTGGTCCTTCAAGAGGGCTGCACCCACAGCGTCTGGATGAGAGCAGTGCCTGCAGCCGCCATCCAAGACAGGAACACACAGCTTCTGGTCCAGAGTGAGGCACCCAGCCTCCAGACCAGAACAGTGCCCCCAGGCACCAACTCAACCTAGGTACACATTCTCCAGGTCCAGAGCAGAGCAATCAGCCTTTGGCCCAGAGACTTGCTGAGTGCACCTCCCACTTTCCCTGGACAGAACTGTGCGCCCCAGGATAACAGACTGAGGTTCCCTGTTGGGAGAAAAACCCACAGCTAGGGAATCAGCAGTTTCTTCAAGAGGACTGTACATGGAAATTTAGTGAGCAGCAGCACACTAAATTTATAACAAGAAACCCAGCAGTGGGGCAGCTGCCTTGAGAAATTCTATGGGTAAGAGGAGATCCCTCCCTGCCTAACATAGACCACAGCTACTACTCAGGGCTATAAACCTGAGGTGAGCAGTGGCAACTCCTGAGAAACACTGGCCATACAGTGACCATAACCAAAAAGCAGAGAAGGACTCCTTCAGGAAAAATCATCTTCCGGCCAAGGGGATACTCCCTACCTCAGGACTCCAGGAAGCACAGAAACTAACAGCCAACACCTAACTCAGCCCAATGGGTAGAGGTCAGCCTAAAGGCTGAACCAACAAAAGACAGAGCAATATGGCATCTCCAGAACCCAGCCATCCAGAGGCGAACAGCCCTGAACAATGCAGCATAATAGAAAATCAAGAAGATGACCTTACATCTATGCTGATGAAGAGGATACTAGAGGAAACAAATAAAATACATAAAGAATTAGAGGAAGATAAAACCAAACAGATCATGGCTATCCGTAAAGAAATGGAGAAAGATAAAGACAAGCAGATTAGGGCCATCCGTGAAGAAATACGAGAAGATGCAGCCAAACAGCTTGTGGCCTTCAGAGAAGAAATAATTAAGTCACTGAAAGAAATAAAAGAGACAGAGTTGAAGGAACTAAAAGAAAAGAGGAAAATACAAGCAGACAGGTGAAGGAAGTAAACAAAACAACTCAAGACCTGAAGACAGAACTAGAAAAATTAAAGAAAACACAAATGGAGGAAATAATGGAGAGGAAGAATTTAGGGAAGAAAACAGGAACTACAGAGGTAAGCATAACCAACAGAATACAAGAAATGGAAGAAAGAATCTCAGGTATAGAAGATACAATGGAAGAAATCAACGTATCTGTCAAAGAAAATGTTAAATCCAAAAAATTCCTGACACAGACCGTCCAAGAAATCCAAGACAATATGAAAAGACAAAATCTAAGAATAATAGGAATAGAGGAAAAAGAAGACTCCCTTCTCCAAGGCCCAGAAAATATTTTCAACAAAATCATTGAAGAAAATTTCCCCAAGTTAAAGGAGAGGCCAATAAAAATGCATGAGGCCTACAGAACACCCAACAAATTTGACCAGAAAAGAAAATCCTCCCACCACATAATAATCAAAACAGTAAGTATACAGAACAAAGAAAAAATACTAAAAGCTGCAAGGGAAAAAGGCCAAGTAACATATAATGGCAAACCCATTAGAATCACACCTGACTTTTCAACAGAAACTATGAAAGCCAGAAGGGCCTGGACAGATATCATGCAGACCCTAAGAGAACACAGATGTCAACCCAGGCTACTATACCCTGCAAAACTCTCAGTCCTCATAGACGGAGAAAACAAGATATTCAATGAAAAAACGAATTTCAACAATACCTACACACAAATCCAGCATTACAGAAGACACTGGAAGGGAAAATACAACCCAAGAAAATTAGCTTCTGTCAAGAAAACACAGGAAATAATTAACCTTACTACAGCAAAACAAAAAGCAACCAAGCACACAACCTCATGAACACAGCCAACATCAAAATCAAAGGATCTAACAGCCACTGGTCATTAATCTCTCTCAACATCAATGGACTCAACTCTCCAGTAAAAAGACACAGATTAACAGAATGGATACGTAAACAAAACCCAGCAATCTGTTGCATACAAGAAACATACCTAAGACACAAAGATAGACATTACCTGAGGGTAAAAGGTTGGAAGACGACTTTCCAAGCAAATAGACACAAGAAACAAGCAGGAGTAGCCATTCTAATATCTGATAAAATAGACTTTCAACCGAAATTAATAAAAAGAGATGAGGAAGGACACTTCATACTCATCAAGGGAAAATTCCACCGGGAAGACATCACAATCCTGAACATCTATGCCCCAAATACAAGAGCACCCACATTTGTTAAAGAAACATTGATAAAATTTAAACCACATATGGATCGCCACACATTAATAGTGGGAGACTTCAACACCCCACTCTC